AAGCTGACACTGTCGAGCTATCATTATTATTCCTTTTGGGGGAAAAAAATTTCTAGCTGAAAATTATGATGAGATTTTTGATAAACTTTCAAACCATTATCTTTTTCTTTAAACCACCAAGTAAAGTAGAGGAAGAAACCCTCAAATCTTTAAATAAAAATATCTTTTGGAACTACACTTTCTATTATGGAGGTGGTAGGGAGTTGAAATGAGAGGGAGTGGGAGGCTTTTGTTTTTAAATTTTTTTTTTGATTGTGGTAAAATATATATATAAAATTTTAACCATCCTCAAGTGCTCAGTTCAGTGGCATTAAGTGCATTCACACTGTAACCATCACCACAATCCCTCTCTAGTGCATTTTCATTATCCCAAACTGAAACACTACCCTCATAACTAACCAATAACTCCCCATTTTCTCTCCTCCAGCACTGCCTAACCACTGTCCTATTTTCTGTCTCTATGGATTTGATCGCTCTAACTACCTCGTATAAGTAGAAGCATACAGTGTTTGTCCTTTTCTGTCGGGCTTATTTCACTTAGCATAATGTCTTCAAGGTTTGCCTATGTTGTAGCATGTATCAGAATTTCATTCCTTTTACAGGCTGAAAAATATTTTATGTATCACATTTTGTTTATCCACTCATCCATCCATGGGCATTTGGGTTGCTTCTACCTTTTGACTATTATGAATAATTCTGGTATGTACATGAGTATACAAATATCTACTTGAGTCCCTGCTTTCAGTTCTTTTGTGTATTTATACCTAGAAGTTGAATTATTGCATCAAATGGTAATTCTGTGTTTAATGTTTTGAGAGCCCACCATGTACTTTTCCACAGGGAGTATATCACTTTGCATTCCCACCAGCAATACACCTGGTTTCCAACTTCTGGGAGGGTGGGGTTTTATACATGAAAAAAAAAAGATGATGCCTTCAAAAAATCATCTTAAAACAAAGCTGAAATTGTGCGTTTGCAAAGAAAAATTTCTATTACATTTTTAAGAGCAATGTTTGTGAAATCCATTTTGGGTTTTAACTCTTCATTTCAAAAAAATTCAATATTAGTGACATTCAAATTAAATAAAAATGGCACTTCAGTAAAGACCACAAACTGCCTGCAGTGTCAATTCAATAACTAGAAATCTGTCAGGCACAGAAATGGTGGGGAAGAAGGGAAACAAGAAGAGGGTCTTGAAGCTGACCCATAAGCTGCTGAGTCCATTAAATTGAGTAAATAACTTCAGTGAAAGCAGGCAGGGGTAGTGATGAGGGTAGAAAAGCGACAGCAAACAGGGGCACCTTTTACACGATGAGCAAAGAGATGGAGGTCACACCTTATAAGAGGTCATTGGAAAGTGGCTTGATATGTAAATATTAGGGACATGAAATTTCAGGGAAAACAAAGCAAAGCCTGTCAGAAATTGTTTTAAATAAATAAGCCCAAGCACAAAAACCTAAATCAACTACTGGCTTTGCAGTTGAAGGAGGGAACAGCTATGGAGGATTAAAATATTTGTGTGAAGAATAAGGGCTACGTGTATAGAAAGTAAAAAACCTGGACGATGTCAGCTGTTTATAGATAGCTTACATTTTGAAAGCCAAGTATTTACTAGCATAAAAAAGCTTCCTTCTGGTTTAAGGTTAGATCAGGTAAAAAGAGGAAATTTCTGGTTCATTCTGCAGCTACTGGTTTATTCTACAGCTGAACAAGTGTTTCTGAAATGTCTATTATGTGCCAGTGTCTAGACTCGGAAGTGGAGGTCATGGATATGAAAAAGGCATGGTACCTGCCCTCCAGGAGCTTACAGTGGGGCCGGGTGACGCAGACAGATCTATTAGGTCATCATCCTCGATACCATGAGGAAGATAAAGAACGAGAGGACTGTTTGCATGAGGGGGGCATAGACAAAGGGGTTCTTGCTGTGGTAGCCAGAGATTGCTAGAAAGCTTTCTTAAGAAGAGATCTGGGGCTGACACAGGGTGAGTGGGAAGTTAGCTTCTCAAAACGAAAAGGTAGGACTGAGTGGAATAGAACTTCTTTCTGGGTTGAGGGACCAGCATGAGCAAAAGCGAAGGCAGTATGAGAGTCTGATTTGGTAAGGAGGTGATGGGGGAAGAGAGTACAATGTCTTGGCAGCTACCAGCAGTTCAGTGGTCTTCCTAGGCCATGAATTCCAAGTCAGGCAGCAGCAGAGGTAACACTGGAGAGAAAGATCAAAGCTACATGTTTATCTTCTCCTCATTAATGAATCCATCTCATGCCAATCCCCCACCTTTCTGCTGCAAGATGAGAACCAGAGCCTGTAGCTCTAGATGCTACAAAGAGACCCAGGTTTAGGATAAAGGTGATATTATAGATAGCAGAATGGAAAGATTAAAAATATTCAGGGTACTTAATGACACCATTGCACTGTGAAATCAGCTAAATCTGAACTTGTCCCATTACAGGATTTCCTGTTGTGAAAGCGAATAATTTTCTTTACTGTTTAATCAAGTTTGGATTTATCTGTCTGTAACCTGACATGAGGTGCATCCTGAATGATCCATGATTTTTGGTACCTTCTACAGACACCTGTATGACCCTTTGCAATTATAACCTCTTTGAGCCTCATTTTCCTTATCTCTGAAGTGAATATAAATTATGCCTCAGTTTTTCATGAAGATTATTTGAGATCCAGAACAAAGCCTGAAGGAATAGACATGAACATGTTGAGTGGCTACTGTGCACCATGAAATAGGTTGGTCCTTGGCTTTAGGAAATTTAGAGACTAGAAGAGAAATGCACCATGTCCAGATAAAATGTCAGAAATAAGATCACATGCATATGGACCTCTGTACAATCAGTGTGTATGGATCATTCAATATTTTTTGGACACATACTATTCCAGACACATGATCTGATGTGAGGTAGGTACAAGGTGGGGATCAGAAAGGGAGAGGAAAAGCATGTTTTGAAGAACTGGTATTTAATCCAAAACTTGAAAGTGAGAAGCTGTTAGGTGAAGAATGGGGAAGAACGCTGCAGGCAAAGAAACATGTACAAAGTTCAGTAGGTGGGAAGGAACTTGGTGTATTCAAGGAAGAGAAAAGGAAATGTGTGGCCAGAGTGTCATGAGCAAAGAATAACACAGTGAGAGATGAAGTTGGAAAGGTAAAAAGGGACAGATATTGCAGAGCCTCCTTGGCCATGTTAAAGACTTTTGAACGATCTAAATGTAAAACAAAGCCATTAGAACGTCTTAAGCAAAAGCCTCATATATACATTTAAATGGGACTTGGGTGGTCAGGTGAGGCGAGCATTTGATGAGTCTGGCTGGGGGATGTGGGTAGCTTGGGCCAGGGGGTGGCAGTGGAAATGGAGAATAGTACATGGATTTAGCAGTATTTTGGGTTGTAGAGCAACTGGATTTGGCGATAGATGGAAGGAACGTGATGAATCATGGAGAGAGTGATTTCAAGGATGACGCCTCAGTTTCTGAGTAACCAGGGAAGACTGGAGCAAGCAAATTTTTTTTTTTTTTGGTAGGAAAATCAACGATTAGTTTTGAACATGTTAAATTTGAGGCCTCTGTTTTGCAATGAAATTGGAATGTTGAGCAGCAGTTTTACTTCTTATATTCATAAGAAAGCTCTGGAGTTAAAATGTGAGAGTCACCCGCCTGTTGGTTGGGAACACAGGAATGGGTGGCACCTGTGTTAAGGAGGGCGCGGAGCGTGGGGAGGAAACACCTCACTTCTTCGGAGAAGGCTTCCCTCATCCCTCAGGTGTAAAGTATTCTTCAGAAGCCTGACAAAGAAGAGGGGAAGAGAAAACCATGGCTTGGATGGGGTGAGAAATAGAGGGTAGGCTTTTTAGAATCACAGAAGCTGGCAGGAGGGGAAGAACATTGACGCTGACAAAGGGGAAAACGAAAGATGTTGGGCAAAAGAAGGTCATTAATGAAGTGGGGTACTGAAGGAGATGGGGGCCAGGTGGTAGGTATCTGACCTTAAATCATCTGAGATCAAAGGGAAGGGCGTGAAGATAGGAGTTTAACTAAATTTGAGGGGTTAAGATCACAGAGAGGTGAAAGCATTCACTACCAGAAGAGCCAAAATACACATACCTGCCACGCACATATGCATGCACACACCTGTGCATATGTTCATGGGAGCTGTCTAGGTGGAATGCGCGGTTCTCCTAACATTCACTGTTTATGAGATAATAATGAGTACATAGGAGGGGCTCAGTAAATATTTGTTGGATTAATAAATACCCCTAGAAGAGTGAGCTTTAGATTTCATTTGTGGGGGTATCTTTGTTAAAGGGCATGGAGAGAGTAAGATGGGAAAAATTGGAAGCTGTGGAGCATGACCCCCTTGAGCTATCCACTGTGTCTTTTCCTTCTTTTCCATGTAGAAGTGAACTCGGTTTTAAAATCATTAGTTCTTTTGTCTTCCTCTTCTATTAGATTGTGAATTTTTTGAAGGGTAAATCTGTCATATATAAATACATGTTTCCAGAATATGACCCAGGGATGGCACATAGTAAGTGCTCAGTAAATACTGGTTGAATGAACGTGAGAGCGTAGACTTGCGTGAATGCGTACAGAATGGAGAAGATTCAGAGAGGGGAAAGGGAGTGCTGTTTCAGATGGAGGCAGAGATACAAGCTAAACTGCAGGGGTTGAAATAATTGCATGTGTGGGAGGCAGTAATGGAGTTGCCTGATTTGGTATTCTCATCTGTAATGTGCCAGATTAGTAACTTGCTCAGAGTCAAGCAACTTGGAATTGATGGTTTCTGGATTTGCACTGAAGTCTTTCTGATTTCTGAGCTCAGGGTTTCCCACCATGCCATGCTCCCTCCTCACCATATTATTTCCCGTAGTTATCACACCACCTCTCCACTCGCAGATGCCCTGTTTCTTCCCACTTAGGCCTGATGAAATATTTTCTGTCATGAACACTTTCTTTCTTTGATTTGTTTTCTGAGTTCTATTCGTTCCTCTTTTCCTAGCTCTCCACTGCGGTTTGAATCCACAGGGTATTGATCACCCTGCCCGGGCTGAAGGTATTAAATTGCAGATTGAAGGTGAAGGTGTGGAATCTCAATCCATTAAAAACAAAAATTTCCAGAAGGTGCCTGACCCTAAAGGAACCCCCAAGCGACTGCAGGCAGAAGCTGAGACGGCGAAGGTGGGTAATTTTCCAGTTGATTAAGGAGATTCTAAAGCCACAGCTTTGATACGCTGTGGTCCAGCCACAGAGAAAAACTGAGAATACTTTCACTAATTGCCATGTATCTTGGGTTAAGTGAATGCTGCCTTTTGAAGATGAGTTAGAATAAATGAAAATATTAACTGCATTCCTTTTTGGCATGCAATTGAAACACGTTTGTGGCCAGTCTTATGGCATGAGGCTTTGAGCTATGGGTAATATAGAACACCTTGGACTTAAAGAGTCATCTGCCAGGCTCAGATTTACCACTTTATGATGTTGGGCAGATCATGTAACTTTGAGTTTCAGATTTTTCATCTACTGAATGGGAATCATAAAAATGAACCCCCCTCATTGTTGAGTAGTGCAAATGATTTCTTGCATGTGGAAGGAAGCATTTTGTAAAAGCCCAAATACTACATGACTATGAAAGGCTTTTGCTTCTGGACACTGTTAATTAAGAATAGCTGATATTTTATGAAATATGTATATTCCAGTTCCTGTTTGAAGGACTATTGATATTCTGGCTTTTTGTGTCCCTGTAACAATCCTCCTGAGGCAAAACATAGTAAGTAGGACCCTAATTAATGGACGATAAAATTGTTCTATTTTGCTGTAGGATATTTAGTTCTCTTTGGTCTTTAGCCTAAATGTAGATAACATGAAACTGCCGAAACACTGGTAAACATACACTGAAACATGGGTTTAGGGGGGGTTAGGTAATTCATTAGTAAGGACAGCCTTTTATAAAGGCTTTCTACAGTGGCATTGGCACTATATAGATTTTTGTCTGAAATCAGTGAAGATGTTCATGTTGGGGGCACAGTGTGGAGGATGTTTATATTAGTTTTCCTCTTGGAAATTAAGGAAACGAAACTTCACATGGCATTTGGTTTTTCCTCCTTTGTGTATTCCCTGCAAGAGAATTTCTTTTCAAATGTTTGTTGAGTGAATGAATATATGCAGGCCTTAGAAAGCAAATGTAAGCACTTAAGAAAAAATTTAAGGGAAAAGGTCACTTTGCTGTTATACAATAACTACCTCCTTTCTCCTCCAAGTAATGTCTTCCAAAATCAAATGTGAACTTTTTTTGCTTTATATTACAGTTCTGAATAATTACCATGATTGCTTCTCTTCTTTAATGTGAATAACTAAACATTGTTGACATTGTGTGTGTGTGCGTGTGCGTGTGCGTGTGTGTCAATGGGGAATGATTACCAAGGAAGATATTGTAGGTATTTTGCACTAGATATTTCAGCTGAGAGAAATTGCACTTCATAGGAAATTGGTTGATGATTGTTGAAGTTTGGTTTGTGAGAACAGTTGGAAACAAGTGAACCCTGTTAAGATATCTAAACCTGATCAATCTGTGCTACCACACAGGCAACTTGAATGAGCCAGGAAAAACACCTTAGAGGTCTTCTTTAACTAGGAAGATAAATAGTTTCTTTGAGTAAGCTATTTTCAAAAGGGTGCTTCAAATATTAAAAATTTGAAAATAAAAATTATATATAGTAGAAAATAAAAATTGATGTATTTCTTATTTTTAATTCAACTTTAAATATTTCCAGATTATATCCCCTTTATTTGTGCATAGATTGGTAATATAAACCATTTGATTCAAATATGATATTTGATTACTTCTGAATTATTTTGAATATGTGATATTGTAGTAGATCCTGAATTTTGATGTCAGTTGCACTTGCCATGGCCTTTGGATCACTTTACAGTTGTTTTACGGAGAACATATTTTGCTGAGAATACAGATGTTTATGATGAGCCTTTCTTCAGGAATAGATCACATATTGGAAATCAGGTTCATCTGAGTTTATCTAAATCATCTGCAATGAGCCCTCCACCCCAAACAAATGAGGTCGAAAGGGAAGATTCTGGGGCTTTTCACACTGCCATCCTATTCAGGGGTGAATGGACCTAGAAGCTTTAGTAAAGCTTAGACAAAGCATTCATCCACTTTGCCACAGAGGACTAGGTGACATTGGTGTTGCAAGGGGGAACAGGGCTAAAAGTACTGTATTGTGGTTACTGTGGATGTCAGAAGTGTCACAGACCCTGACATTTCTGTGCCTCAGACAATGTGAACTTGTTTTTTGCATGTACAAACACATTTACATTTTCCCTTCTGTTCCATTTATTTAGAGGGCTAGTGGAGTGGTGAGCCATCTTCTCCCCCACCCCCACCCCCCCAACCTGGGTGTATAATTGAAACTTGAGTAATTTCATCTACTCTAAACTTACCTAAAGAGGAAAACCTCTCTGGCTGGAAATGCATGCATTTAAAGCCATTCAGTAATGTAAATTGGTACAGCTTTTCAGGAGGATTGTTTGATAGTAGTTATCAAAATTTTAGATGTGTGTAATTTGATAGCCAATAATTCCCTCTCTAGAAACTTGTCTTAAGGAAATAATCCATCCAGATGTACAAAGATGGCTGCAAGAGAAAACATTGGAAATAGCCCAAATGTCCATGTATAGCACACTGGCCAAAGAAACAGGGTATATTAATGAAATGGAACAGAATTCTTTCTCTGTAGGGTTGTATGTGACCTATATGTATGCATGTGGGAAAACCAGGTAATAATATTTTAAAGTAGTGAGGGGAGGAAAAGGACAGGTTATGGCACAGTGTGCATAGTATGTTCTCATTTATGTGAAAATTTCTTTCTCAGTATAAAGGCACCAGTGACTTTGGGAGAGTTTACTCCACAATTTTAGCAACGGTTTATATCTGGAGTTGAGATCTTAGGGAAAAGTTTCACTTTCTGAACTTCTGTTTTGTTTGACTTTTTAAAAAGATTTGCATTCTTTTAAGTATATTGACTTTAAAGCCCTTTTTAGATCACCCTATTAACTTTAGTAGCTCAATCATGACTTTTCCTATTTAGGGTTAGTATGATTCCTTTTAAGGTGCTGAATTTCCTTTCATGACTTCTAATTCTTACTGCTGAGTTTATTTGCCAAAGGAGGGAATTATCCTGGGGTCTTTTTGCCCATGTGTGCCTTGGGTTGGGGAACCTATCTGATGTGGTGCTTTTGCATTTATCCCTACCTGAACTCTGGGATTCAATAGCTCCAACCAGGTGTTACTTTAATGTTTCAATTTAACATTCTGTCTGTTTACTTCTGACTGGTTATGCAAATCAAGTTCCCCCAGTTGCACTTTCCTGTTTGCAGACTTCACACAGGGAACCTGGTTCCAGCTCCTTGTTGTGGCTTTGGGCCCTGCCACTTTAAGTCTGGCCATGGAGGGCTTTGAAACCAATCCCTCAGCTCACCACCTGTTCCAGATCCCCAACAGGCAGAATGAGCTTTGCACCTCCTCACTGCCGTAGTTTTCTGACATCTAGTGAATTCTCTTCCTTGATTTAGAGTTTGGTCTTATATAAATTTAAAAATGTTAAATATTTTCTAGTATCTTTAAGCAATAATAGAGCTTGAGGAATGATTGTATCATGTGCTTAATCTACTATGTTGACCCTGAAATTTGTGTGCTTTCAGGATTACAAAATGTGTGTGTTATGTATCCATATCCATCCTGGGAAAAATAATTCTTGCTTCTCTGTCTTAGAAAGTGATATTGTGGGACCATTATCCCCAACTCCTCAAAAGACTCAGAACCCTAATTGCAGATAGAGGTTGTCTCTGCCACTGGTTGCCTCCAGCTCTTTTAAACCAAAGAGAAACCTATAGAGGACCCAGATCACTTTTAAATCTTATTATTGGGCAGCATTCAGTGTAGTTGAAAAAAAAAAAATGAATCCATTTGAAATGTGTGTCTGCAAAAGATTTTTACCAACATGAGTCCTAAATGTCTGTGAGTGTTTGGGAGTCCAGAGAGAGAATATGAGTGTGCGCCATGCCACAGCTGTAATTACAAGTGCAAGAACTGTGTTTACTTAGCTTTACAGGAGAGTACAAGGCAAGAGATCTAGTAGGCACCACTCATTTCCATCTCATTGGAGGCCCAGAAGTTATCCAGGTATACAGCTTCTTTTGACTCATCACCCACACATGGGGCATGTACAGCTGCCACCAACAAGAGTCGAGGTGAGGATGGGTCTCTTTGACACAGAGGAGGCACAGCCCCTTTTTCTCACCAATCTTCTTTACCATTATAGTCACATAGGTGCAAGGCCAAGTCACAGCTCCTATAGAACAGGTGTAGGTCCACATAGCAGCTTCCAAAGAAACAGCCCTGTGAGAGACTGAGGTCTTTCTCAGACAGGCCGAGCCCTGAGGTTAATTAACCCTTTACTCACAGAGCAGTCAGGACAAGACTGCGAGAGAGGGAACTCCAGCATGAGTGGAACTCTACCTGTGCTGTGAAGTATGGGTAAAATTCCATTATGTAGCACTAAGAATGGAGGGTACCCTTAGCAGTGAAGTCTACTTATCTTGAGCCAAACGAGAGCAGCGGAGATGTTCAGGCATGTTTGACATCAGTTTCTTAGAGTCAAGGTTTCTGTTGTGGAAATTGAGGCCAGAAGAGTAGGTTAGGCCCAAACTGTATGGGATTTGAATGCTGGGATAAGTAGCATGTGTTTACTTTCTACCACATTGTTCAATATCACATAAGGCTATCTAAATTTATTAAAATTTAACAAAATGAAAAAAATACTACTTTGGTCATAGCAGCCACATTTCAAGTGCCCAGTCACCACATGTGTCTAGGGACTACTATTTTGGATAGCATGGACATAGAACACGGCTGACATGGCACACAGTTCTATTGGATGGCACGGCTCTAATTTGGGGGAAACCATTGACGTTCTCTGGGTACAGGAAAAAGATGGAAAATGAAATTGTGTTGATGTTGTCTCTGGTCCTTGCCCTTGGGCCTGGGTAGACATGTGCTTCAGTCATTAAAGAAAAAAAAAGTCAATGTCCTGAGAGTGTGTTGAAAGTGATGTTCCCAAATGCTCTGATGGTTGGAATTTATGTTTCCATGGCAACTCTGGCTA